TTGATTAAATTAGTTTGCCAATGACCTTTTGGGCATATGGATACCCGTCAGTTACTAACTATCCTGGAATCGAAACCCAATTAAATGACGTTAAGTTTTCATAGTATTCCAAATTTTAGTGGGGCCCCTATATATTTCTAAAAATTAATTTTTATAGAAAACGTTTTGGCTGTTTGAATATCGAGGGAGAGATCATTTCTATATTTTTATAATTGCTTGGTAGATTTTTGTTTCCAGTTTTAATAAACTTGGCAAATATTGTTTTACACTTATTTATTTTTTTATAGACCATTCCATTTAGCGCTCTGTGGGCGGCACCATTTTGTTCGATAGCCGCGCCCTCTCCATACATCCGGGAAATTCAGCGGGTTCGGCGGGGTAAAACGAGAGAGAGGGCACGCACCCGACTCCGCTAGCAGACGACAAAACGGGAGGTTGCCATTCTCCATCTTTCGGCTGTATCGGCGGGCAGGACGGAACATCGAACTCTCGCTCGTGGCTGCTGTTGTGAAGTGGTTCGCGTTCTTAGAATAGTTATGGCTACTCCAAAATCAGCCTAGAGCTCTCTGTTGTTCTACTTCGGTAAATGATCAACCGACACATCTTTTTTCCGTTACTTAAATAGCAGTTGAGTCAGCCGGCAATACTATCCTCAACTACTGCGTGTATTGCGGCAGGAGAGCACGTTTTTATTTATTATTTCAGACATCCGCTCATGGTCGCTAAAGGCCTACACCAGTACGAACTTTGCATAGTAAAAAAGGTACAGCCACCGGATTCACTTTTCGTCGGAGAGACCGGCCAGTCTGACACAGTTTTCCCTATTTTTTTTTTTTTTTTTTTTTTTGCACGCAGGTAACAGCGCAATTGGACTCTGTTAGTCTTTTTTATCTAGCATAGTAATACAAGATAACTGGCGTACCAAAATCTGCGCATCTGCGCTTGAAATTCCCAAAATGACGCGATTTTAAACAGAGTTTGTACGCCAGCCGGATGCTAGATACTGCCCACTCGGCGGAGCAGACGACACGAGGGCGAGAGGGGGAGGGCATTTTTTCTCTTTTAACCCTCTCTGCTATGAGCATAATGGAACGGTCTATAGAGATCCCGTGGAATCCATGGTTTCCTTGATTTTTAATGTTCTTTTAACCCCAGATGATGGAAACGCTTTATCGTAATACTGTAGTAATTTTGCTATAAACAATCATAGACTTGTCCTGGATTTGGTTCATTGATAACGTCATTCCATGTTTCCATACAAACAGGATTGTAGAAGCATTCAAGACTATTTGTATTTATATTTCTACAGAACATTTTATTAATGTTGATCCGGCGCCTGTGCAGTGAATTATTGTGAGGAAGGAAACACAAAAAAGAAAAGTTAAACGATCACTCAGATCTGCAACTAGTACTTCAGCGAACACATCCGTGCCTTGGCAGTTTGTTCCACAGATATCAATCAAGGTTTTCGTGAATTCAGTGATGATAGTTGGGGCACTGATACTATTTTCGCAATCGTCTAGATGAATAATTTCTAAAACAATCTATCTTCGACGACTCATTTGCCATTAGATCAATATTTAGGTCACCTATTAGGGTTATCTGTAAGTTTGATGCAGAAATATATTCCAGTAACTCCTCCAGATATTGAAAGAAAACACTTAAGACACCGGACAGTTTCCGGTAAATTGCGGCGATTATAGTGCTTCCACAACTCGCAAACAAAGATTCGAAATGAACATTCAGGCAAGTGAATTCAGAGAGTACACACGAAGATATTTGGTTTTGAAAATATAAAAAAAGTTCCTCGCCCCCCCCCCCCCCCCCCCCCCACGCGTCGGGAATCACGATATACGGCATCACATTTACAACCTTCCAATTGGACAACGTCATGTTGCTCGGAATACCAAGTTTCTGTATAAGTAAGAATTTCGTACGTGCAACGGAGCGATATCAGATATAAGCAAACACTATCACACATATTACGGAGACTGTGCATTTCAATGATATAGCTTGAGTGTGTTACAATTTTATGGGTTATCATTAGGGTGTGTATTTTCCGGTTTTAACCGAAAAACACCGATAAACATCCGTCGGTGACGAAAATGCAAAATCGGTTAAAACCGAAAAACACCGGTGGTTGGATATTTTCGTCCTGGTTAAAGCCGAAAAACACCGGTCGTTGCACGTTTCCCACCTAGCGAAATCCTTTCCCCGTAGAGTTCGTCAAACGTGTTATCTCGTGGATCCTGCATTCTTCCAGTTTTTATACATGGCTTGCACGTGGCCTCAGTCCGTTCTCCTTTCTGGGAGTCAAAAGCGTCTAGTTAACGCAGTGGAAGCTAAGCTCTCACACGCCTTTCCCCCATTGTGTCGCCCATGGCCCCCTTTTGTGGAAAAATTAGCGCAGTGGAGGGTACGCTCTCACGTGCCCTTTCCCCATTGTGCCTGGCCAAGTAATGTCGGTGCAAGTCATCTATTCAGAGGTTGCTGTGGTTCCTGCAAGACACTGCCAACATCCGTGTCGTACAGGGCTACTGAGCTTTCAGAACTGAGATGTGTTCCTTGTTATCTGCTTAGTTTCCATGGGCTTTTGGGGAAACGGAAAAAGGGTTTTGTTGGCGGGGGAGTTTTTCGCTGTATATAAAAGAACCATTCTGTAAAAAAATTTGTAGACGTGTTTGAGAAGGTGCGTCTGTCTCGCGTCTGCGGGTTTTCTCAACGCGAGACTTGCTTCCCTTCGTCGTCACGCGGAATAGAAGGCCACCAGGATGGGAAGTAAGCGAAAAGCTCAGGATGACTACGCTACAGATTTCATGGATGAATCGTCGTTCTGGTTCCGCGTGCCAATTGTTAATCCGTGCATAAACGTGGAGCTGCCAGGGGGATTTGTGCTTCATGAAAGTATCTATCGGCTGGTCCTCTGAGACGAGAGCTAGCTGAGTGACCTGGAATCAGAGTTTCTTTGTTACCGCCAGTATTCTGTGACTAGCACCGTTGATCCAGTGTTATTTTGGAAACCTCATTTACCTCACTGACCACTACTGTTCCAAGCCTCGCTGGACATGTTGGGATTTCTTCTGTCCAGCGCAAATGTGGAGCGTGCGTTTTCAAAATTGCGGGTTGTGAACCGCAAGGAACGTGCTGCCATGACGTATGCAAGCCTCTCGAAGTATGCTTGCATCTACTATAATAACCAGGTGTGAAAAATATATGCTTCCTCGAGAAGTGTATGAAATATATGAATAAAATTGGAACTCTCTGGTCTGTGATCAATCGCCTTTTTTTCCACCGATAATCACCGATTTTAGCCTCGTCGTGAGACGTTCCACCGAAATACACCGGTGTTTCGAAAATAAATAAACACCGAAAAACATCCGCCGATTTTTCTCACAAATAAACACCGGAAAGTACACACCCTAGTTATCATTTATGTACCTCTTGAAAAATGACGCGCCATAATAAGTACACTTCTTGTTACGAAACGCCATAACTTGTTTACCAAATATGTACGGTCAGGAAACACCTTCACTTGATTGTGGTTAGGTCACTTTCACTGCTGATACAAATAGATGGACGGACGCCTCGATCACCGCAGACTGGGCTGATGGCTCACGCTTTCATGGCGGGGCGTTTTCTGCAACGTCAGTCCACCAGCCATTGCCGCCGTTTCCACAAGTCACCAGCGAAACTGTACTCACCGACCAGGGCGTCGCCAACCGGCCAACAGCAGCAACGTCCTTCGAGAAGCCTATATCAACGGCGCCGAAACCGGAGCAGTTCAGTGGGTGTGGCAGCCTACGCGACAACATGCTGAAACCACTTTTCATCGTACAGATTGCTCTGCTGATCGGGACACGGCCACCCAGCCAGCGTAAAGGGACAGACATCGGATGGACGGACGCCTCGATCACCGCAGACTGGGCTGATGGCTCACGCTTTCATGGCGGGGCGTTTTCTGCAACGTCAGTCCACCAGCCATTGCCGCCGTTTCCACAAGTCACCAGCGAAACTGTACTCACCGACCAGGGCGTCGCCAACCGGCCAACAGCAGCAACGTCCTTCGAGAAGCCTATATCAACGGCGCCGAAACCGGAGCAGTTCAGTGGGTGTGGCAGCCTACGCGACAACATGCTGAAACCACTTTTCATCGTACAGATTGCTCTGCTGATCGGGACACGGCCACCCAGCCAGCGTAAAGGGACAGACATCGGATGGACGGACGCCTCGATCACCGCAGACTGGGCTGATGGCTCACGCTTTCATGGCGGGGCGTTTTCTGCAACGTCAGTCCACCAGCCATTGCCGCCGTTTCCACAAGTCACCAGCGAAACTGTACTCACCGACCAGGGCGTCGCCAACCGGCCAACAGCAGCAACGTCCTTCGAGAAGCCTATATCAACGGCGCCGAAACCGGAGCAGTTCAGTGGGTGTGGCAGCCTACGCGACAACATGCTGAAACCACTTTTCATCGTACAGATTGCTCTGCTGATCGGGACACGGCCACCCAGCCAGCGTAAAGGGACAGACATCGGATGGACGGACGCCTCGATCACCGCAGACTGGGCTGATGGCTCACGCTTTCATGGCGGGGCGTTTTCTGCAACGTCAGTCCACCAGCCATTGCCGCCGTTTCCACAAGTCACCAGCGAAACTGTACTCACCGACCAGGGCGTCGCCAACCGGCCAACAGCAGCAACGTCCTTCGAGAAGCCTATATCAACGGCGCCGAAACCGGAGCAGTTCAGTGGGTGTGGCAGCCTACGCGACAACATGCTGAAACCACTTTTCATCGTACAGATTGCTCTGCTGATCGGGACACGGCCACCCAGCCAGCGTAAAGGGACAGACATCGGATGGACGGACGCCTCGATCACCGCAGACTGGGCTGATGGCTCACGCTTTCATGGCGGGGCGTTTTCTGCAACGTCAGTCCACCAGCCATTGCCGCCGTTTCCACAAGTCACCAGCGAAACTGTACTCACCGACCAGGGCGTCGCCAACCGGCCAACAGCAGCAACGTCCTTCGAGAAGCCTATATCAACGGCGCCGAAACCGGAGCAGTTCAGTGGGTGTGGCAGCCTACGCGACAACATGCTGAAACCACTTTTCATCGTACAGATTGCTCTGCTGATCGGGACACGGCCACCCAGCCAGCGTAAAGGGACAGACATCGGATGGACGGACGCCTCGATCACCGCAGACTGGGCTGATGGCTCACGCTTTCATGGCGGGGCGTTTTCTGCAACGTCAGTCCACCAGCCATTGCCGCCGTTTCCACAAGTCACCAGCGAAACTGTACTCACCGACCAGGGCGTCGCCAACCGGCCAACAGCAGCAACGTCCTTCGAGAAGCCTATATCAACGGCGCCGAAACCGGAGCAGTTCAGTGGGTGTGGCAGCCTACGCGACAACATGCTGAAACCACTTTTCATCGTACAGGTTAGTGGCAAACGCCATTATGGATTGAGAAGTAACAATTTGTTTCTCATTGTGCTGCCGCACCCACAACGGCTACTGTGTATTTTCGCTGAGTGCTTTGATTTGTGTAATCTCCTCTTACTCTCTGGGGATATTGAAAGTAATCCGGGCCCAGATACGGAAGAAACCTTACAAAAACTTTTGGTAGGTCAAAATAAGATATTCGAGGCGATTAAGGAAATAAAATTCACTCAAAGGAAGGTCGAAGAAAGAATAGGTGCTATTGAAGAAACCGTTGAATCATTCAAGAGCGTCTCAAAAAATTTTGACATTTTTTCGAGTACTGTGCTCACATTAAAACAAACAGTTTCTTCACTCGAGAACAAAGTAGACGACCTAGAAAACCGAATGCGCAGAAACAATTTAATCTTTTTTGGAATTCCTGAAAATCTCAACGAAACCAAGCGGGATCTAGAAAAAGTTATCATCTCTGAGATTCTTGAAGACAAACTAGGCATTGAAAATGTTGGGGTGGAGAGGATTCATAGGATTGGAAGACCGAATAAGGGGAAATCAAGGCCTGTAATATTGAAACTCTTTGACTATAATGTAAAAGAAAACATCCTGAGAAATGCGCGGAAACTTAAGGGAACCAAAATATCAATATCTGAAGACTTTTCGATTCATATCAGACAAAAAAGGAAGCTTCTCTGGAACAGTGCTAAAGAAGACCGTGACAAAGGCGAGAAAGTCGTGCTAAGATTCGATAAGTTGATAGTTGGCAATTCTTGCTATCAGTGGGATCCCGTGAAAAACGCCCGTATTCTGATTAACTCAAGGCAACGAGACGACAGAAACGCGCAATCTAACAACGAATGACATCAGTGCTCGAGATCTCGTTCGTTCACTCTTATCAATGTAAACGCCAGAAGTGTAGTAAATAAAACTGCTGAACTAGAACACATGTTATTGTCCGATGATCCTGATATAGTTGTATTAACAGAAACATGGTTGCACGATAATATTACCGATAATGAAATCATTCCACCAACACATCAAATTTTCCGAAAAGACCGGGATACGAGAGGGGGAGGAGTGGCAATAGTTCTTAAAAATAATATCGATGCAACATTAATTCACGATACCTTAAACATCGAATCGATCTGGGTCAAGCTGCGTGTTCATAATAGTCCGATTCTTCTCGGGGCGATCTACCGACCGCCAAATGCTTCTGAAAGCGTATTAGAAAAACTATACGACTTTGTAAATCTGCAAAGACGACGTTTTTCAAACATTGTAATCGCAGGTGATTTTAACCTTCCCAACATCAACTGGGAAAATTTAACACCTTTAAACTTTAATTGCAAGCACTCGGAGCTTTTGGTTAATATGGCATTTGATAATGATTTGACGCAAATTGTTACATGTCCCACGAGAATTTCAAGTACAACCAATAATATCCTTGATCTCGTATTTATATCTCAGGAGTTAATGGGTAAAGAATTCGCTTGCCAAGTTAGAGAAGGAATATCTGACCACCATTTGGTTTGGTGTAAATGTGCCGGAGAACTTCATACTAAAAAAGCAGACCGATTGATCAAAGTGCCTGATTACACTAGAGCGCTAGACGAAAGCATTTTAGATCACCTTGAATTATCATTTGACAGTTTTTGTGAACAAAGTGAACGTGCATTAGATATTAACGATATATGGCTGTCATTTAAGAATTCCGTTCTGTACTGTATAGAAAGGTTTATACCGACACGTTGCAAACGAACACGAAAAAATAATCCTTGGATTACTCGGGAGGTTTTGCATCTCAAACGTAAAATAAACAGAATTAGAATTAAAAACCAAAGAACAGACAAACCTAGTATAACACAACTTCGAAAGCAATTAAGGTCAATGATTCAGGAGTCAAAACGATATTTCCATAATGTGACCTTAGATAAATTTTTGGTAACCGATCCTATTAAATTTTGGCGATATATGATCAAATCAAAACAGCCAATTAATACCATAACACAGAACGGAACAGAAATTGATGATCCATTCGAAATTGCCAACTCATTCAACGAATACTTCGCATCCGTGTATACCACGGATAATAACCAGAATCCAACCATAGAATTCTCACCGAAAAGCATTCCGAGTGTTACCATATCTAAAGAAGGCATTTTTGCAGCATTGCTTAATCTTGATACTAAAAAATCTGTAGGACCAGACATGATCCCAAACATTTTTTTAAGACGGTATGCGGAATCCTGCTCAAATTTCTTGCTTGTAATTGTTAATAAGTCAATTGAATTAGGGCAAATCCCCGACGATTGGAAAACTGCTAAAATAGTTCCAATATTCAAAGCAGGAGATTCCCATCATGTTAATAACTACCGCCCAATATCAATTTTGAGCAGCTGTGCAAAATTGATTGAGCATATTTTGTTTAAACATATTGTCTCTTTTCTTGAAGAGAATAACTTTTTCAATAAAGATCAACACGGTTTTAGACGTAATTTATCTACAGTTACGCAACTAGTGCTCACTGTGAATGATTTCGCAAAGTCAATTGACTCCGGATATCAGACGGACGTAATTTTTATAGATTTTGCAAAAGCGTTTGACCGCGTGCCTCACGGAAAACTACTCTTCAAACTGAGATCCTTATTAAACAATGAACAGATATTAAAATGGTTAGAAGCATATTTAAATAACAGAAAACAGTTTGTACAAATACAGGATTCCCGCTCATCCACATCAAAAGTAGAATCCGGAGTTCCTCAGGGATCAGTTCTGGCACCCCTACTTTTTCTAATTTTTATAAATGACATTACAGTGGACAGATCTGTTCAGATTCGCTTATTTGCCGATGATTGTATAATTTATAAGCAAGTCAAATGCTCAAATGACCAAGTAGTCTTAAACAAGAGTTTAGAAATGATCTCAGAATGGTGTGATGATTGGCAAATGTCTCTAAATAAACAAAAATGTGCACATATGACGATAACTAGGAAAAAAAAACCAATGACTTTTAATTATACTCTTCAAGGAACCGCTTTAAATACCGTATGTGAATACAAATACCTAGGATTAATCATAACTTCAGATCTGCGTTGGAACTCACATATTGACTTTATCTCCCGAAAAGCAATGAATAAATTATGGGCATTAAAAAGGAAACTGAAGGACTGCTCGAGCAAAACGAAACTAATGGCGTACAAAACGTTTGTAAGATCTATACTCGAGTATGCCGACGTTGTGTGGGATCCTTACACAAAATGTAATATTAACAAATTAGAAAGAATTCAGAAGAAGGCATTAAGATTTATATTTAACAAGTATGGCAGAAACACCTCGGTTTCGGAGCTTTATGTACAGGCCGGCCTTCCGCTTTTAGAAAAACGTAGAAAGATCAATCGACTGAAATTTATTTTTAATCTAATAAATGGGAACTACAACTTGGATTATCTAGATTACTTTCACTTCAACACAGCTAGGTTTACAAGAAATAAACACAGTAAATCAATCACTGAAATAAAGTGCAGGACCGACTGTTACAAATACTCTTATTTTCCTCGTACCATCCATGCCTGGAATGCGTTACCCGAACAAATCGTCTCTTCAAATTGTCTAACGTTGTTTCTAACATTGATAAACGAATTACCAGAGTTTTGAGGTTTCAGGCCTTGATACCCCTCAAACGAATATTTTTCTGCTCTTTGTGTGTTCGTGATCATATATGTAATTTTTTTTTTGTTTTGCTGCGCTGCCACATTCTGTGCTTGCTTTTTTCGTAAGACTTGATCCATGTATCCCTCCTACCTTGGCCGCCCCACGGCGGCCGGTAGTATAAATAAATAAAAAAAAATAGGCCGGTCACTGAGTTGCTTCCGAACAATACTCTTGCCCCCATTTTGCCACGTAAACTGGTAGTGCTTTTCGGAGGCTCTCGTTTTTGCAAGCGAGAGCAGTCTTTTTGTTTGAGCGGTTAGACTCTCCATCAACCAGACATCTGATTAGTTCTGCTTAAGCAGAACCCTTTTTTCGAACCTGCTGTTTCTGGTCATTCTAGTTGTGAAACAAACGAGAACCGGAAGAATTTTGTCTGGTTTTCCAGGGAGCCTGTGAATCGCCCCGATGTCCACCTTGTTGAGCTCAGGAGCACGTAGTTCTTTTTCTACCTCTTGTAGTTTGTTCAACAGGTTTTCGTTGGAAGTACATGGGAGACCATGAACTTTGAGATTGTGTCTGCTGCTGTAATGCTAAAGGTTATTGACCTGCAGCTTTAGTTCTTCAATTTTTTTTTTGTGTACCACTCTTTTTAACTTTTTCCACACGTGTTTTCGGATCATTGATATCCTCTTTTTGCTTTTTAAGTTGAACGAGTACTTCATCTTACTGGTCTGACATATGTTGCACGGATTGCTCGATCTTATCGACAATCATTTTTACAACAAGAAGGGCCTTCAGTTTCAATATTATCTCAGCCTTGTGTGTCTCGGTTTTTGTGCGTGGTCACGATTTACTTCAGTTTGGCTGTGACTTTTTGTTTCTGCGGTTACGGATGTCGGGCATTTCCACGATGTTTTTCTGATTCAGACATTTTTAGAGCAGTTTTGGCAATTCCAGAGCATTTTCCGGGATGATAAGTAAAACAGCACTCCGAACGAGTCATATAAGTCCTATTTGATAAAGTTTCATTACATGACAAACACGCATCGACACTCCGCCATCAGTCCCCTCTACTTTTTGCGGTATGTAGACTAGAAAAAAATGGCAATAGCAGAAACAACAGTACTAATGACAACAGTAACAGCGGCGGCAGCAGCGATACCTATCAATCAGAAAGTTTTCAGGAAAAGAAACAAAGGCACCAACCTGTAATACGGAAAGCACCGGGAATTTAGCAGCGCGCCGATCAAAGGACACAGCCGCTGCCGAGTGCGTGTGAAGCAGGATGCGGGGCGTCACGGTTTTTTCACAGCGACTTTCCAGCGACGTCACTACCACGTGCCTGGGAACGTCCAATCGTTGATTGGAGGCTTCTTTGCGCAGCTTGTGATGAGTCAGTGCACTGTGTATCAAGGGAGAGCCGATCTTACCAACGATGCAGCGTAGAGGATATTGCCGCGCGCGCAGCTGGCCAAGTAGGCAGCGCGGCCGTGGCCTACTTTGGAAAAGGATTTACAGATCAATCTGTTTTCACTTCGTTTCCCCCCGGTGGAGAAGCTTGAAAGCGTACCCTATGACATGTTTATGGTATTAGAATTGCATAGCCTTTGGAAGTCTCGTGTGGCGGTGCGCCACGCGGAGCAGCACCCTAAGTCGGACCGCCTGTTTTTTGTCGAACTTGTTGTGCAAGTGAAGAGCGTTGTTGAACGGTTTGAAACCCCGCCAGACTGGGTTAACCTGTTAAAAGAGCTCACAGGAATGAAGGGATTTTAATGCTCCCAACGGCTCCAAATCGGAGTACATGGGTTTTTAATATGTAATGTGTGACTTATGTACAATAACGAGAAAAAAAAGCGCGGCCGTGGCCTAACGGTTATCGTGCTTGCCTCCCACGCGAAGAGCCAGGGTTTGATTCTTCGGAGCGATTTGTCTTTTATTTATTCTTTCTACGTGTCATTCTCGCAACTTCGAGAACTTTCTCGTCTCACCTAGTTACGAATGTTCTACGCGCCAAACGCTCTAGGCGGAATGTTCCAGAAAGCAATGCCGGTACAAAAGGTACTCCGCGAGGCGAGCCGGAGTCAGTCTCGCTCCAGCGCTCAATTCTGCTGTTTCTCTGACATCGGCGCCTGCGACGCTAACTTACTAATATTTTGTTTTGGGCACAAGTTCGCCTGATTAAACGTTTAGTTTCTTCAGTTATTCTTCGCCTCATCATTTGTCATTCGTGACATTTTGGTGGAGGTGCGGGGTACCGCTCTCTATGCCCGTGAAGCGTACCCCACCGAAGACATTCCGGACAACTGAGGT